CCGGAACCAGAACCAGAACCAGAACCAGAACCAGAACCGGCCTGATCCCGGTTCAGTTTGGTTCTTTGGGGAAAAGCTGAACCCGGGACCTGTCCTTCTGGGCCCCCGTTTGGGTCCAGGCAGGAACCGGAACCAGAACCGGTCCCGGTTCAGTTTGGTTCTCCTACTTGGGGAAAAGCCGACCACGGAGCTGTGCTTCTGGGCCCCAGTTTGGCTCCAGGCCCCCGGAGTTTGTCCGCTCGTGGTCCTGGTAACCCGTTGTAAAACAGCAAACGGCCTGAAAAAGGCACTAGGCTGGAACTGGAACCGGAACCAGAACCGATCCCGGTTCCGTTTGGTTCTCCCACTTGGGGAAAGTCGACCCGGGACCTGTGCTTCTTGGCCCTCGTTTGGCTCCAGGCCCCGTGGAGCCGGTTTACTCGTGGTCCTGGTAACCCGGTGAAAAACAGCCAGACTGACCTACTCTCAGCTCCTGGCCGAACACGGTCCTCTCGCCCAGGGCCGAGCAGTTCCAGCGGCCGTGGCGGAACTGGAACTGGCACTCGTCCAGGCCCAGCTGGGCGCCCTCGCCGATGACCACGATGGCGTCCGGCCGGCTCCGGCACAGCGCCCGCTGACCGGGGGCCAGCCCCGGGATCTTGTTGCAGATGATGTTCGCCCCCAGAGCCACAACGGAGGACAGAGCCCTGCGGTCAGAGGGAGAAGAGGTCAGAGGTCAGAACGGGCCCTTTCTGGCCCCCCAAATGTGCGCTTTTCTGTAGTAATTGGTGGGAATTGTTGGGTTTCTGTAGTTAACTTCAGAGTAGGTCTGACCTGCTCTGTTTGGAAAGCTGTGAGAGAACTGTTGTTGTGATGTGGCGCTATATAAATGAAATTGAATTGAATTGAATTCATTTTAATTTTGTAATGTCATTGTCTGAACGTGTGTTTGGACTGATTTTGTATTTTGTGATTTTGTGTTGTTTGGTCTTCCTGCCTCAGGACGACAGATGTAAACTAGCAACTATGCTAGAATCTGGCTCATTTACAATCTGTATGTGATTGTTCAATAATGTGCACTGTCCTGATTAAAGAAATAAATAAAGTAATTAATAATAAAAAAAGACCCCAGATGACACCAAGAGAAAGAACAATAGCTCCACGTTCCCTCTAACCCTCCAAACCAGTTTTAGGTCTCTTTGTGAGGCTTTTAATGCGTCTGTAAGCAGAGCATGAAGTCATATTTTACAGCACTCTTTT